TAACAGTCAGCGACATGTGGGGAAGGAGCTTGCATTATGGACCTCCCCACCTTGAAGCCTGTTTTTCTTCTTGCTCTCAAGAGTTGCTCCCAGGGAATTTTTTTTTGTGCCTGTAGCAAGCAAGGGAAGTTCAGGAAAGTATCATTTGGCACACAGCAACGCAGATCCTTCCTTACTGTTTGAGTTCCTGTAGCTGCACCTCTCCCACTGCCACGGCACTTGCTGGCACTGTGGAGAGCGGTGCTGACGCAGAGATCCGTTCCCACAGATAGGCCCTGCGGTTCCAGAGCAGACCAAAACATGAGCTGGTTCCCTTGAGAGCTCCTTTCCCACATGCTGAGCTGCATTTCTCCCTCATCCAGATCTGTATGAGGACACTGAGGTCATCAGGACCATGATCTCCCTTTCCCATGAATCCCATGTGAACCTGGGGGCAGCCCAGGCACCTGATATTCACGCTTTGCAGGTGAGCCCTGGCTGATGCAGCAGAATCTGCATCCGCAGGTTTCTGCTGAGGCGACAAAAATCTCCTGAGAAAGAGCTGGTCTTCCAGACTAGTTCAGCAAAGCCCAAACAATAACTTAGGGGGAAAAAAAAAGACCACAGTATAGCACATCCCTCTGCTATCCATCCCCACTCCAAGGCTTTTCAGGTATTCCTGAGCTGTTTCTGAGCATCCTACTCGCTTTAATACTGTAGAGGTTAGTCTTAAGCTAGGGTTGAGTCCTTCCAGCCCTCTCATTGCTTTTCTGTCTCTTCTCTGAACTTGGTCCCACTGAGGTGTCTCTATGGGACAAGAGAGTGAAGTCGCAGCAACTTTCACCATTCTGTCACAGGGATTTAAATTACTGGGATACCCCAGAGCTCTCTTCCAAAACCTTGTGTGGCTTTTGGGCTGTGGACTGTTTTGGAGTCTGATCATATGTCTTTGGCAGGGGTCTGGGCATGGTGGGGCAGAGTGGATGTTTTTGTGTGTGCTTTGTGATGCTTTAACTGCTAAAGACTTCCTTCTGCACTCTGCAAATCACAAAGGTGATTTGCTGCCTTTGGCAACCGTTTATGTACCTAATTCACAGTGAAGGAAATAGGGTCTGGGATTTCGTAGCACTGCTCCTATGCCTGTAAAACAGTTTGATACTGCTGGGCAGGAGAGTGGTACCACAGGCTACAAGGGGACCAGTACTGAAGAGGCAGTGGGGTTTATTTTTCTTCAGACCTTTGGAGGCCTGAGTGAGATCGTTTGAGTCACAGAAGAAGAGATTGGAGCCTCCAGAGATATGTCGTTCCACCCTAAAATTTGTGCCCATTTGGATGAGGCTGGTTGCAATTTGGAGGGTGAAGCACCTCTGCAATTACACAGACACGGAGTTGAGCCATCCTGTGAAGCCCCAACACCTCTGTGTTAGCGGACAGGCATTATTTGACACAGATCTGTCATAAATGCCTGTTGTGCATTGCCAGGGCTTGGGGGAGGTGAGGTGACAGTCCAAGCAGGGCTGCTGTTTTTCTGTCCTTCTCGGTGTGGGGTGTCTCCTCCCAGTCTCATTGCCTGTGAGCATCACCAGCGTGCACCCTTTCCAGTCTGCACCAGACTGGCCACGCCGGCCTGCCCTCAAGTCCCCACCAAAGCACAAAAGTTCATTGAAAGTCCAAGGCAATTGCAGCTGGCTCTCCAGCAGCCAACGCCCTGGGCTAGCAGAGGGACTGGCCATCCGGAGCCTGCATCCCCAGCCCTGGCCGCTCCTGCTCCAGTGGGTGCCAGATGGCCTCGGGCTGGGCGGCTGCCTGAGATCAGCCTGACTTCACCGGGGCGGTGGTCTGGAGCGGTGACCCCGGCCCCGGGCATCATGCCTGAGCCAGCTCCACTGTCCAACCCCACAGGGCTGTGACGAGGGGCTGGGGGTCATTCACCGACATGCTACAGCGGGGTTGTTCCTGCAGTGGGAACATAAATGAGCTGTTCTTCATTAGGGCGGTGAAAGCTCCCTTCCATCTGGGCTGATCCCGGCGGCCTCCAGGGAGCTCAGGAATGCTTTTGCTCAGTTGGCGCTCTTCAGCTGCCAAAGGGCGAGAGATGAGACGACCTTCTTGCTCTGCATCCCTTCCCTGCCTACATTTATCCCTTCCCTGCCTGCATTTCAGGAATGCAAACACAGCGGCTGTCCCTGTGTGCTTACCAGGAGGGAGGTATTTTTATTTTCTTGTCATGGTCACAGGTGCAAGTCCAGGCTGGGGAGAAACCTATTTGCCCATCCCAGGAGGTTTCACCATAGATCAGGCACATTTCCTCCTCTTCTGCAGTGGGAACAAGTGGGAAGGGCAAGTGAGGGAAATGCATGATGGGGGTTTTTACCAGTCTGGGACCTGAGCACAGACTTACTGTGTAAGACCCAGTCTGAATTAAAATACGTACATCTCTAATGTGATTTACAAGTGCAAAAGCTATTTTCAGGGACTTTCCTACTCTCCCAGCCACAGGGAGCCCAGGGAAGCTGCTTTGCATTGCCCAGCAAGATCCAGGACTGTAAAGGATGGGGAAGGAAGGAAAAATGGGAGAATTCCATCCTTTTGGCAGGTACAGGGAAGAAGACAAACATTGATTTCAGCAATCATTCCCTCTGCCTGCCTGTAAAGTCCAGCAGGAAAACGTAAGAAACTGGTGTGGGGCTGGGCAGATAGTGGAACCGCTGTAGATAGAGTCTGCAGCTGTTTGTGCCAGGGAGATGTTGTCAGTGAAACTCAGAGGGAGTGTCTCGATCTGGCTCTAATTAGGGCTTTGGGGTCCTGATCGATGGGAACTGCAGAAAAATCTCTCTCCCCCAGCCTCTCCTGTAGATTTTTTTTCCCTTCTCCATTGCCAGTGTCAGCTGCCTAGGTGTCTGATCCCAAAATGTTGTCCCTCTCCCAGAAAAGAAAGCCAAGATGTCAGAGATCACCCAGCTGGGTTTGGAAAACGCCACGTTGTTGTAAGTGGCAATGAGACATAAACTGTAGTCCTCCAAAGACAGCTGCCAGCAGGACCCAAAATCATAAGATGCCCACTGGAAAAGCAGGGTCTGGGGTCACTCGTGAAATTCTGCAGCTGAAGATACTCCCTTCATGGGAATACTAGAAGGTGGCTTTTCTTCCTGTGGGCAAATTCTCTTCTGGTGGAGAGCAGAGATGCTGTGCACTGTTGCAGTGTGCTGTTCAGTGGAAAATACTTGCTGCACTCTAAGTCTGGGGGGCAAAGGAAGGACCAGGCAACTTCTCAAGGTCTCCACCAGAGCCAGCTGCCTGATGCTCCTGAACTAGAGATTTAACTGAGATCCTTGCTAAGTCTTTCTCCAACACCTTCTTGCTTAAGTGGTGTATTATGCTGTAAGTAATAATAGCCATGATAATAATCAAGAAGGCTGTTTTAACAAGGTTGTGCTGTGATTGTGCTTGTCCTTAGGTGCATGAGGCTTTTTTGGGGGTGTTTGAACAGGACAGCAAGTCCTCTAGCAGTGGGCTGTGGATGTAACAAGCATGGATCATTAGCAGCAGTGGTCAATAGATGCATTTCCTACCTACCTGCCAGAAACCGATGAAAACGTGTTCGGAAAATTCAAGCCTCCTAGCCATTTGGAACAAGGTTCCTGCTCCTCTCTGTAAAGTAAGCAAACAGGGAGGTGGTGTTCCCACATGCCCCACACCCACACGTGTACACACACACACACACCTTGTGAGGACCTCACACGTGTTCAAAACGTCTGGAGCACAGAAGCACCCTGGCTGGGTTTTGATCCAGGTGCAAGAAGACGCATGGGCTGCTCTGGGTTTGGTTGTCACAGACAGCAGGCAGCTGGACAGGAGCAATTTGCAGCTTTCCAGAAACTGCCTGGTATTTTGCTGCTCCATGACCAGAGACAAGGTGAAAGGGTTGGAAACGGCTTCTGCTAAGGAGCTCCCTCTTGCTGGCGTGGAGCAGAGGGAGGACACTAAGCCCTCAGCCGTGGGGCAGAGGACAGCCCACACTCTTCTGTGAGTATTTTTTGCCTCTCGGGGCTTAGGGGAGGTTTCATGAATTAGAACATCAACAACACAGTCGTTCTGGCTTGACTTGTGTCAGGAGCATCTCCAGATGCTCACCCTTCTTCCCCTGGGTTCTCCATGGAAACTGCAGCATCAGACCAGACATGAAGCCATGGGATGGCTTAGAGTCCAACTCAGTCTCCTGCCTTGGCTGTAGGGTCAACATCCTCTTGAGATTTCACCTCCAGGCTAGCCAGGCATCCTTAGCTTGGTGAGCAGTGTCATTCTTTGGAGTGTGGCCAGCTGGGACCTCCTCCTGGAGAGCAGGGAGAAGGAATGGAGATGTGAGAGCTGCTCACCTCCTACTTCCCACTGTCCCCCAGCTGGGCACCCTGTGAGTAGGGCTTTCCAGCCTGTGCCTTGTGCCCATGGCTGAAATACAAACAGCTGCCTGCCTGAAACCAAATCACTGGGTTGGCAAGGTGGATGGGAGTAGGCACGAAGGGGCTGTGCAGCAGGCCAGATACTGACAGCAAGGGAGGAAGAACTTCAGCCTCCTTCCTGAGTCTCAGACAGGCACAATTAGGGCTCATTCTGGGAAATTGGGTGTTCCTCCTGCTGACGTCTCCTCAGGAGCAGACATGCAGCAATGCCAATGCTGGCTGCAGTGAGCCAGCCCCAGGGTGGCAGATGGAGGTTAGCAAACAAGCTGGTGGATGAGGATGAGTAGGTGGATGCAGGGGCTCTGGAGATGCTGACATGGGTCTCTGGTCCCAGCTGCGATGGGTGGCTGCAGACTGATGTGGATGAGCCGGCCAGGAAGCAAAGGAGGGGACAGCATGGGTGCTGCCTGTCCCGGCTTTGCCTTTCCCTCTCCTGTTGGCAGCGGGAAGGTTCCTCACCAGCTGCCCAGCGCTTGTCAGGAGTCTGTGTGTCAGAGACCTCTGCCCTTCAGTTTGTCAGAATATTCTTGTTAGTTTCAAATTAGGGAACAGATAGTTGAGTGCATGAGCAGGGAATGCTTCAGCCTTGTCACTGAAGGAAATCAAGCTATAAAAAACATCTGGGGGTGGAGGGAAGGGGATCCCTCCAAGGCATTCATGAGGTTCTCACTGGGAAATAAAGTCTCGAACTAGACACCATTGCTGAGCAGCAGACGGAGGAGTCCTGCCACAGCCATCCCTTGTCATATCGCTACTTGAGCGTGGACCTGTGTGTGCTGGGGGAGTGGGAAGGAGGTCAGTTCCAGGTGCTTTTTCAGTCCTGCAGTAAGCACTGGACTCAGACTGGGAGCTGGACAGCTTTCAGAGCACACCCGCCTTTGGCTCCCTCTGCAGAGCATTGGGCTCCTGTGGGTCCCATCTCCCCTTGCCAAAAGGTCTTCGTGCTAGTCCCCAGCTCCCAGTCAGATTGCAGGAAGCAGAGAAATAAGTTGTTCTCAGAGGGTGACACTGCTGACCGTATGAGCCATCTGAGCTGCTGCAAACACACATTGCACCACGAGTCCCTGGGACTGGACATCCCGTGCTCTTTCTTCTGACGGAATCCTCTCTGCCTTGTCCCGTTTGTTTGTTATTTTAGCTTTGCCCAGGTGGCTGTGCCTCTCGTATTTGTTATTGCAGAGGTAATGAGCCGTGCCCCTCTTGTGTTACGGCAGGATTGCCTGTGCCAATGTGAATCCTCCCCTCCCCTTAATCACCGTAGGGCAGCCCAGGGAGATGCCCTGGCTCTGCCATGTCCAGCCCTGGCAGTCAGTGCCAGAGGGGATTCCTGGGACAGATCACAGCTTGTATCATTGTTGTGGAAGGGTTAGTCACTGCACATGTCTCTGGTCTCCTTTCGGACCTCGAATTGCCGCAAAACCTTTGTGGCAAAGGCTGCTTTTCTGCCCAGGCACCCCTGGGCAGAATGGTGGGGCAGAGCCTTGCTCCTCCTCTCCCCTGGATGAGTCTGGGTACTAGGGAGCAGCCAGTCTGCAGGATGGCTCCTCCTTGCCTTGTTGTAGGGGGCTTTATCTGCTTTTGTCTTCATCCTCAGCCTTTTTCTTTTGTCCCAACAGTGATGTTGCAAAGAGGGGCAAAATCAGTGCCCTGCTGTCTTGGTATCCACCATAGGGTGCCAGGAGGGGATGAGCCACGTTTACTGGTACTGAAGTCATGGCAGACACCAAGCATCCCATCACAGTGGGTTCTACCGTGCCTGCCCGCTGGCGCCAGCACAAACCTTGCGTCAGCACAAGGCTGCTGGGAACTAAGGACTGGGAGACTTGGAACCTCAGGAGCTTTAAACTCCATTCAAATTTAGTCCAGAAATAACTTTTTTCACTCCAGTGGCTGTACTAAATGTCACAAGTCATCTAAGTTTAGCCTGTCACCAGCTCTCCTATATATAACTGTGCAGAGCTCCTGACTGCATCCTGCCGGCACAGGTCATGCTGGGGCGATCTGGGAGGTGTACAGGAAGGTGACTGCCATGGGCAGAGCCTAAATGTGCTCCCTTACCACTGGTACCATCAGCAGCAGCTGTGGTCAGGCAGCGCCTCTCAGCAGTGTTACCTTAGGCTTTTCCAGCTGCTCAGTGGGTGCCAGCGGCCAGGGCCTGGCTTGGTCTTCTGAGCGTGGGGCTGAGGGCTTTGGAAATCCCAGCACTTAGCCACGTCTTTGGCATCGCTGCTGAAGTGTCTGCCCAACGGCGTAGTGCCTTTCTTGTGGGATTGACCTTGACTTTGGAGTTGTCTCATCACGAATCCCTGGCTTTTGCTCTTGCGTCTGTAAGTCAGTGTGGTGTGAATTTGTTACTTAATCCTCTTGCCGTGGCTGAAGAGAGGCTTCTCTGCCACATTTTGTGTGTCATCTGGTCCTTTCTAGGTGTGGGATAACCCTCCTACAAGTCCTTCTCCACTGACACACTACAGACGATGGTGACTTTATATGTAGGAGCCCGTATTGACCCCAAAATTCTCCATGCCCTCAGACACCTTTCTGTCCTGAGCTCGGGGATCACACAAAAGCCGTGCCAAGTCCCACACAGTATAGGGCTATAGGCAGCAGTTGGGAAGAAGATTTCTTTGTAATTTGTTCCCATCCCACCTGGTGCAAAGATGTCCTCTGGGGTTAGGCAGGAGGCTCTCTGTACGAAAGCAAGTCTTGATCAGCTCGTGGAGACCTGACGGTTTGGTATCTCTTCCCTTCCAGAACGGGAGTCCCGAGAGCACGAAGAACCAACCACGTCAGAGATGACAGAGGAGACCTACCCACCCAAGGCTTACCGGCCCAAGCATGGGCGCCTCTCCGAGCTCAAGGCTGAGGCCCTGAAGAAGGACCGCAGGAAGAAGCTGACCCTGGCCAAATTCGTGGGCATGGCAGAAAACACAGCCCACCCCCGTGTTGTCATTCCTGAGCTCCGGCAAGAGTTTGAGCTGGTGGGTGCCTTCGCCTTCTTTCTTCGGGGCTCTCATGGGCAGGGGGCTGGGGGAGGGATTTTTCCTCCTGGGGAGAGGATGCTGGGAGGGGACCTGGGGGCTTTTGCAGCTGGAGGCTTGCTGTGGGGTGCTCCCCTTCTCACACTCCATCTTCTCCCTGCTCACAGGGCCCCTGCCGCAGGCACATGGAGGCATCCCTGCAAGAGCTCAAGAGCAGCCAGCGGATGGTGCCACGCGCCGTCCACCTCCCCAACTGTGACCGCAAGGGCTTCTACAAGAGGAAGCAGGTAAGAAAGATCCCACAGAGGGATGCTTCCCACCCAGGGAGGGTCCACTGCCCTGGGTGGAAAGGACAAAGGTTTCTCCTCTACTGGGTTGGTGGGGAGGTTTCTGCAAGCATCTCCAGGCATGACTGATGGTGGGTGGCGCTGTGATGGCTCCAAGTGCCATCCAGCCCGAGGCGAGCATCCTGAAGGAGCTGATGTGGGAGGAGGAAAAGTCAGAGAGCCCCGAGCTGGAGTAGCAGCTGGGATGGAGATGTGCTAGAAGCAGAGAGCGGGAGCGAGGTCTTACCCAGGGGGTTGCATCGCTGGGGCGAAAGGGACAAAGCGCAGGGCTGGTCCTGATGCCCAGCGCAGGGGAGCTGCATGGTGCCTGGTGGCTGTCTCCTGACCTCTGCTTTTGGGTGTCTCCCCAGTGCAAGCCCTCCCGAGGCCGGAAGCGTGGGTTGTGTTGGTGCGTGGACAAATACGGTATGAAGCTGCCGGGGACTGACTTCCTGAGCGGAGACCTGCAGTGCCACGCGTTCGACAGCAGCAACGTGGAGTGAAGTCGCATCCCCTTCCTCCGTCCCATCACTACCTACCCAGGCTCCCTTCCACCCTCCCCTCCACACTTCCCCGTGCCCCGGGACTCCGATTCCTTTCATCTCATGTAAGAAGAAAAAAAGAAAGGAAAAGAAAAAAAAGAAAGGAAAGAAAAGAACAAAGAGAAGGAAAGGAAAAGAACAAAAAACAGAAAGGAAAAGAAAGAAGTAAAGAAAAAGAAAAGCAAAAAACAAAGCAAGAAGAAAAGGAAAAGAGAAGAAAAGAAAGAAAAGGAAAAGAAAAAAGAAAAGAAAACAGAAAATAAAAGAAAAGGAAGAAAAAAAAAAAAAAAGAAAGAAAAGAAAAGAAAAGAAAAGAAAAGAAAAGAAAAGAAAAGAAAAGAAAAGAAAAGAAAAGAAAAGAAAAGAAAAGAAAAGAGAAAAGAGAAAAGAAGAAAAGATAAAAAAGAAAAGAAAGAGAAAAGAAGAGAAAAGAAGAGAAAAGAAAAAAGAGTAAAACAAACCCTGAAGAAACTGAGGACTCGGAATCTACAGCAGCCTCTTGACAACAAGGACTCAGCAAGGAAAGGACAGAGCCAGAGACAAACCAGCTGCAGCTGCTCCGCCATCCTCCGCCTCTCCCCAGCACTGCCCGCACTGCCCTGCCATGAGCAGAGGCCACCCCGGTGTAGGAAGCTCTCTGAGTTAGTGATTTTCCAGTACGGGTTTTGGGCAGGTTATTTTTATTTTTTTTGAGTTAGCTAGTTGTTTTCTAAAGGGTCTCAAGAGAAAACCTTGTGGCCACCAGTATTCCCCCTCCTGGCTGTGGTTCTCTAGTGTCTCTTCCCCACATCACTAGGGCTCACTCGAGTCGATTTGATTGACTTCAGTCTCCACTGACTGCCCTGAATTCAGGCAGATTTTGACACATTGGGAGGAGAGGTAGGACTGCTGGCTTCATGTCTGGAGATGAGCTGGGGAGGGAAACACAGCTCCTACAACAACATGAATACTCACCCCAGAAATATTCGTGGACTTCAAGAAAGAATCATCCAAAAAAGGAAAAATAGCCTTCTCCATCCGGCTCCTCTCGAACAGAGGGTCAGAAATTGACCCTGAAAGGGACAAGCGGGACTCTTGACCATTGTCCATCCAGGTGTGGAAATGTTTGTCGCCTGCGTGCATGTGTGCGAGCGTGTATGTGCATGGACATGGCTTTTCCTCCTTGCAAAATTTCACCTCAAAACCTGCAATCTGGAGGGCTTAAGCAGGGGAGAGATGCTGCCCCCCAAAAAAAAACCCATAATAATAACCTGCTGGACTAAGCACAGGAATGGTTACGGAGGAGCATCAGTGCCTGTGGGATCAGGGCCCCACCGACACCGAGGGCTGCATCCAAGAGGACCCAGCAGATCCTCCATCACTGTCCAGACTGAAGCGTCCCTATGTGGGGAAAGGGGAATTGGGGCCAAAACTCTTCACACCCTTTGCCACCGTAAGAAAGACCAAGTATGGAGATTTATTTTTTTTTTTTACATTTTTTTTTTCACAGTCAAAAAGTGGTTTGCTCCAGGGAGAAAAAAAAACCAACCAAACCTACACTTTGTTTTGTCTTGGATTTTTGTTAAGGCTGGTTTATAGCCTTTCCCATGGGTAGGAAAAGGCTGGTCTCCATCCTTTCACATTGAGGATACTGCTCATGTTGCCATGGCTGGTTCCTGCCACCTTACAGTAAGAACCTGTGATGGGCCCTTGCCTTTAACCTGGCACCCAGCTCCTTGTTGAGTGACAGCAGCCACTGCGCCACAGAGACCCACTGCCTCAGGTGTGCTGGGACAGCCCTCAGCTGCCTTCCTGTCTTTTTTGGTTGTTTTTAATTTTCACAGTCGATTTTGGGACTGTTGCCTCTCATTTCCCCATGACAAGGGTCTCTGGGACGTTGGCAGTGGGAGGAGATCCTGCAGCGAAAGGAAGGAAAGCGAGATGCGGTGCCTGAGTGCTGTGGTTCCAGTGGGCAAACACCCACGGGGGGCCACAGCCCATCACCATGGCTGGAGATGGCAGCTGGAGCTGCTCAAACGATATGGCTGGTCTCAGGGAGAAGATTTCTGCACCTCCAAAGCCCCTTTAGGTTTTCCAGAGCTGGGCAGAGAGGAAAGGGGGTCTGCAGCATCACCAGGTCCCCACCAGCAAGAGTGGGACAAGAGGGATTCAATGCCAAGGGGGTCTGGTGGGGACTCCTCTCCATCGGTGGTCAGGAACCCTCATAGCCCCCCACGGCATGGCACTAACTCCCTTGAGCACCCTGTGGGCCGCCCTACCAGGACACTTGCCCTGATCAAGGGCAGGACTGGACACCCTGTGGTTATTTCCCTTGGAGCTATGGTGGGGGTGAGTTTGGCCAATGGACTTCCACAGAGACCCACTGGAGCGTATTTGGAGCTGGGGGCAAGGCAGGCATCTTCCCTTGCTGAAAAGAAGGAAGAGTGCCACCAAATGCAGATTTGCCCCTCCCCAAAAACCTGTTGGAGCGGTGTGAGTCCCGTGTTGCTGGAGCGGAGCACGGCAAGTGCTAGGGCTGGGGTGGGACCCCTCCAGGCTCTGCGGGGCTGATGGAGGAGGGTCTATTTGGTTAGGGTGGTGGGTTGATGGTGCGGTAAAAGTGGGGTGAAGAATGGGGTAAAGAAGGCAGGTGGAGGAGGAGCCTGTGCCAAGCCCAAGGGCCACAGGTCGCCGTTGTCGCTACTGTCTCCCTTTTCCTCTGCTTGCCGATCCCTGTGCAAAACCTCCTGACTGTTACAGGCCAGTACCACCTTCCCCAGGACCCTTCCCTCCATCTCTCTCCCTCTTTTTTGCTTTTTTATTCGTTCGTTTTGTTGTTTGATTTCCCAAAACTTGAAAGCCTTTGGCTGCAGAGAAAGGAGAGGTGCCGCTGGGGTGATGGGCACACGCAGGGGGACCTTGATTTTCAGGGCTGATGCTTTTGCAGCATGAGGGTCAGCTCACAGAGCCCTGTGGTGGTCTCGTGATATGGCCACCACAGTGACACTTGGGAGGGGGACACAGGGTGCCCCCCTGATCTCTTCCCACAAAGTGAATCTCAGCTGTGGCCCTGGGAGGCCAGAGCAAAATCCATCCCGCACGGCCTCCAACCCACCCCTGCACATCCAGCGCTGGGATGGAACTACCTGACTTGTCCCCACCGACCTGGATGCAACCCTCGCTCACCCCACAAGCCACCTCAGCTCCCAGGATGGGGCACCAAGAGACAGCCCCAGCCACCTTTACGCATCCCTGTCAGGACGAGGCTGTTTGCAGGCTGCACTAATATTTAGGACCGGGGTTGGAGCCTGGGTCAGGCTAGGGGCGAGAGCGGATTCAGAAGGGGTTGTTCCCCCGCACCCCAGGGGTAGCAGTGACGAGGTGTTCCTGTTCTCAGCACCCCTTTGTATCTGGGGGTGAGAAAACCAAATGGGCAGATTTGGGAGCTGGGCAGGGCTGGGTGAACAGCGCAGGGGGTTAAGGCATGTGGGGAAGTGCTGGCAATTTGTGCTCCGGGGGAGGTGTGAGGCTCGGGGGTCTCTGGCCACAGTGTTTGCACCGAGCCTGTGCCGGTAACCGGGATGCTGGCTGGGAAGGAGAGGACAAGGATGGCACAGGGGTCAGGGCAGCCCTTCCACCTCATCTCCCCTGGGGAGCAGCGCTGGGCTACCCCTTGTCTGTACTGCAGTGGACTTCGAAAACCACTAGTACAAGAGCATTTTGCACTATTTCTTGGCTCTCTCTCCCCTGCCCTTTTTTCCCCTTCTTCTCCATGAAAACTCCTTTGTCGTTGGTTGGGGTTTGGGGTATTTTTTTTTGTTGCTGTTGTTGATTTATTTTTTTTTGTCCCCGAACGGAGCATTGTATATTTAACGATCGACAGTTCACCTCGCTTCCAGACCGCTGTCCTGGCGCTGGCTAGGAGCCCTGCCTACTGTGTCCCCCTCCCCAGCCCCGCCTGACCCCGCCACTGCCACTGGGACAGACATCACCGTGCACGTTACCCACCGTTGTAACACAGTTGTTAAAACACACCAGATTCCGAGTTTCCTGCCTGGTTTTTATCTTTAAGCAATACTCACTACACATTTTACGGTAGCTTTTTATAGCTTTACATACATACAGTAGCTCTGTTGTTTCGTTTTGTTTTGTTTTTTGTTGTGATTTTTTTTTCCAGTAAACAAGAAATACTCATAACCTTACTGGTGGGAAAAAAAAAAAGCAGTTTGTGAAAAACTGACAATGGAAGAAGAGCTTAATGCTCTGTTTAGCATTTTGTACTTAAAAAAAAAATCTCACATTTTATTAAAAAGTGAAGATTGCTGTATACTATTTATTCAACTTATAATTTATGTTACTCTTTGATCTTTGTCTTTTCTCATGACAAAGCATTTATTTAATAAAGTTATGCATTCAGTTAGTTTGTGCCTGACCCTCGTGGAACGTCTGCGTGCCGGGGCCAGCCAGTGAGCAGCTCCAGTCCCGGGCACCCCCGGGCAGCCCTGCTGAGCCCCTGGGGATCTTGGCCAGATCCATAGAGGTGCTGGGGGAGGGTACAGAGCACAGGGCAATGTAGTGAAAATCACAGAATCCTAGAATGGCCTAGGCTGGAAGGGACCTTAGAGATCATCTAATGCAATCTCCCTGTCATGGGCAGGGACGCCTCTCAACTAGATCAGGCTACTCAAGGCTCTGTCCAACTTGGCCTTGAACACCTCCAGGGAGGGGGCAGCCACAACGTCTCTGGGCAATTTATTCCAAAGTCTCGCCGCTCTCATACTAAAGAATTTCTTCCTAAGAGCTAATCTAAATCTATTCTCCTTCAACTTAAACCCATTTGCCCTTGTCCTATCAGTGGACACTCTTGTAAAAAGTCCCTCCCCAGCCTTCCTGTAGGTTCCCTTCAGGTATTGGAAGGCAGCTATTAGGTCCCCCCGAAATGATTTAGGAGAGCTTTTGATACTGAGGCAGAATGCAAGCTTGAGTTTAAAGCATCCTTAAAGCAGAGATGTGCTATTCTTACTTTTTTTCAGCAATGTTCTCACATGGAGGTGGCACTGGGGCACAGTGAGAATGGTCAGCCAGGTTTTAAGGGGGGGATGAGGGCCTGGCTGCTGGTGATGCTGGGCCCCCA